TATTTCCGGCCCCTAAATATTTGATAAATTTTTAGTTATTAAATTTTCATGTATCATTAATCATTAAATCTAAATGGAAAAACAATAAAATTCAGAGAAAAATAGAGCTAAAAATAGAGCTATTAAAACATGAAGCCTTTAAAGGTCATTTAAATTCAATATGGCTTGATAAAAATCATAATATAAAGAATTACACGGAAATACCGACTATTTTAGTGAATTATCAAGTTTGTTCTAATTTATATTTTATGAAATATTTGATTTGACACAATTTCTCAGCACACAAAAGCCCCCTTTTTATGTGTAAGCTGCAGATAAAAATATAATTTATTCTTCAGGACCTTTTATTAAATGTTTTCATACACCTGCCAAAAAGTTGAAAAATTATAAAATCAATTGCCTAATACACATCACCATAAATTCAAAATGAAGTCATATATTATCGCAGAAATGGTTATGGAATCTATCTCAATTTTAACAATAGTGAGATGCCGTTTTTTTGAAGGTTAATAAATTAGATGTAGCAGGCTTGTGGAATAATCGATAATTAAATAGGGATAATTGATTTAGAAAGTCTTTCTGCTGAAAACTTTATAAATTACATTTTAAAACAACTTATTTAAAGATTAATTCATCTAATATAAAGAGTGTTATGCTGCAAATGTCATGTCTAGTTTAATTCATCTAATATAAAGAGTGTTATGCTGCAAATGTCATGTCAGGTTGAAATGGAAGTTAACAAACTTTGCTCCAAAATTATTACTTAGAAGATGTATATACATTGTTTCAAACACAACTTGCATCGTGTTAATAATTGGTATAACAATATTTATGTAATTTTTAATTTTTTCAATTTAGCAAACGAATTGTACAATTTTTTAGGTATTTTAATGTTTCCTGTAAATAGAGAGACCATTCTTTTAAAAGACTTTTACAAAGATGTGGACTGGTATTAGGAAAACATCTCATCATTTATGAGAATTTTGAGGATATTGGTGAAGTATTATTTTACTATTATAATAGAACTCTCAACTCGGAAGTTTCCACTCATGATTTAACACTGGTCTTTTGTCTCAATCCATGAATATTTATATTATTTGGCCGTTGCAATAAAATATTCAAAGATTATAATCTTGTATATTATTTTAATTCATTGACCCCCCCCCCCCGACTTAAAATATTTTATTGCTGATAAAAACGCCTCAATGCATCCTTATTAAATCTTAATATTATAATATCACATCATAAAATGAAAATAACAAAGAGATTATTAGGGGCTGAAGTAGCAGAAAAACATGATTTTGAAAATATTATTAATGAATAAAAAAATAATCATATGGCAAGGAAAGAATTATATAAATGCTTTTCAGCAGGTTATATCATTGGGATATCAAAAGCTTTCTGGAGGCTTCATTCTCTGCACTCAGGAGGGTTTTATCAAGCAGGAGAGAATCGATGAAAGATAAAAGAAAACAAAATTTAGTTTTGATGTCTTATGAAATAACCCAAAATTTATTTATTGTTAAAATTTAAAAATAAAAATCGTAATAGTATTCATAATATTTGCATTTAAAAATTTGGGTCTAATTATTTGTTTTATTTTAAAAACCCCCAACCCTCCACTAAATAAACAGACATCCTTCCCCTCCCAAATAAAAATTCCTGGCTAAGGGTCTGGGTTTAACATTTATAACTGGCATATACTATATATTAGATATAGGGTATATTATAACTCATTTTTAAATTAAATAAATTTGATAATCAATTTTCTTGTAGTAATGTAATTACGGTAATTTATTTGCTGATATATTAGCGGCTATGTATTCATGAAAATGCTTTAGCGGTAATGCATTATTGAAAATATACTTCAATCAAACATTTGTGAAAAAAGTTTTACGGTAAATGACATGTAACCAAAATTGTATAATTATTTCACGCATTCCTTGCCTCTCCGTTACTCAAGAAATACCCTATAGCCATTAAAAAATATGGAGAAAAATGGCTCCTATCAACCCCTCCCCCAAACTCCCTTTATATAGAAACTCTCCATAGTTTTAGGATTCAACATAACTATTTTTTAAAATTGCCTTGAACTTTGTTCTTTAGATTTTTTAATGACCGTCCGATTTCAAAAAATTGAAAATTTTATATCACAGAATCTTTAAGGATTGAGAATACAAAAGACTGAATCATCTGTTAGATTTTTGTTTTTAATTCCGTCACGAGGGGATCTCATTAATTTCAAATTTGCCAATATTGATAATGGATCTGAAGAAATTAAAGCCATCTCCGGCAAAGATCCTAGACTTATCTTTCATCATAGCAATTTAGGAATAGTTCTACCTAACGATTGTTGCAACATAGTATTTTATTCTTTAGCTCTTTTCTTCACAAGGATTTCAACATTATATCTTCTTTTCCTCACGTATTTAAAACATTCTTAAAAAATAGAATCATCATATTCCGTGAGAATAAAAATTCCATGAATAGCATATCCAAAGGCCTAAAAAGTTCAAATATCACTTGGTGAGACTCGAAAAGGTGCAAAATAACTTGTTGCCTATAACCCATTTATCTAATAAAAACTATTGGCAATAGAACCTACACTACCCTAGGGAAAGGGTTCACCATTAGCATGGATACACTTGCACGTCGACATTATAACTAAATCAAACAGGTTGAAATATTCGCTATATCACAACATATGGGAAACATATATTTCTTAATAAACAAAATGCATTTCATATCCGTGATCATATACACCTAGGGAATTCATAAAATTCTTTCTAAATAAAATATATATATTTTTAAACATATTATGTTGATCGTAATGAATTTTATATCTGCCAGAACATTATTTATTTTTTTAAAATCGGTTTATATATTGTATTTATTTGTACAAAAGAAAATTGCATCTTAAATTAAATTTTATAAGTTATATGTTAGTTTTTATTAGGGTTGGGTATTTGATCGGTTAAATATTATTCGGTCAATTGTATCTGACCGGCCAAATATGGTAAAATTAAATTAGGATTTTATAACGCTTTGTTAGGTATATCTAATAACTAATATACAAAATATATACAAAAATAAATATATTTTATTGAATTTGGTAATATATTGATTCATTCTTGAAATATTGTTTCGTTTTCACTCTATGGCAGGGTCGTTTTCTTGTTCAATTGAATAATCATTTTGTTTTATGTTTTTAATTGATCGTAAAATATAATGAACGCTAACTAATTTCTGGAAGTCAAAGTTTCCGATCGATTTCGGTTCTTTATATGAATATTACCCCAACCGGTCAATTTTTTCTGAAGTATAAGTTAATATTTCCTAATTCTTAAAGGATAAGGAGGGCAAAACGTTTTCCACCAACTTCGAAGTCGGATTAATAGTTATGGATTCTACCACATTCCACATTTGTTTATCAAAAACTGCTTACAACAAGAATTTACTATTTAAGATGGCTTGATTATAACCACCTTGCAAAATTCCTAGTTCATTGATTATATTACAAGTTTCGTGGAGTTCATTATTCGTGAGATTTTATTCTTAAAATTGAGGATCTAATAAGTAAGCAGCATCATAGTAATTGTATTTAGATTATTCTTTCTTGTTTCAAACATATTTATAATTTCTTCTGATGGAGAAAATATGTCCTTGGCATGATTGTATAATATGTTGTTCTAAAGATAACCTCTCATTCCATGGGACAAAGTGAACATGTCTTTTTGAATTCTCAATAATTACATAGCTAGCGATTTAAGTAATTTAATTTACATTTTTTATCCAAAATTGTTCTTCATTTAAGATATGTGATAACTTATTTCTCTTGAACATATATCACAAACAGTTTCTTCAACGATGGACGCTTTCAAAGCTATTATTAATCTGTATTTGTTGCATACACGAAGAAACCCAACTCGTTAAACAAATCAAACATAAAGTGTGGGGTGTTAACCGGCTCGATTTGTGCCGATTTTTAAAAGTTAACTCCATATTTTAGCCAGAAAAATACTGTCTAAGCCACGATATTTCGTTAATAGATGTTCAAACATATGTGCAACCTATGAGCAAAATCTTAAGGTTTGGATAATAATTTTCCTAATAAAATATTGAGTTAGCCGTTTTTTAAAATCGGCTCAAAATGAGCCTTTTAACAACACTATTAAAGTGGGTGATATGGCATGTTGATTTCTATAGGGAAAAAATCATGTCCTTGGTATATGTTTATTTTAAAAAAAAATTAACCATTTTTTATTTATGTGAAATAAATAACTTCTTGTTCAAGATATGACATTTTAGGACATTTGACCATAATTAACCTGTCAAATATACTGGTCAATTGACCAACTGGCCAACCCTGTATTTCTATTTTATTTTAATATTATATTTCAATTTTTATATAAAAAATAATAATTTCGATTCTTTTTTTATATGTACATGTATTATTTCGTTGTCGTTGGCAGTTTATCGATATTATAAATATAATGCTAAATTTATTATATAATATCTTTAACTCGTTAATTTTTTGAAAGAAATATAGACATTTAATTATTATATTTTTTATTTTGACAATATGTTTTTAAAATATTTTTTTATAAAAGAAGCTATAAAATACTTTATATTTATTTTCATTTTTTTTAAAAAAAAATAATAGAAAAAAAAATTAAATTATATATCCTTTAAAAAATGTTAAACAAAATATCATTTAATTGTTAACATAAATTATTTATAAAATGTCCTATCTGGGAAAAATATTAAGGGGATGGTTTAAAAAAATGTTGTTAGATTAGATTCGATTAAGTTTAAACATTTGCTTTAATTATTTATGAATTTTAAAAAGGTGGTGGTGTATTTTATATATGAAAAATCTATTTTTTTTCTTTTTCCCCATAATATAAAATTATAAGTGATTCAAGGAATGAATAAATTAAAATTAATGCTCAAATGAATGAATGACGGGGTGAATGAATCGAATGTTACGAACGTTGTACCTTTTTCTGTTTAGTTTTGATGGCAATTTTGAGCATATTCAACTCGGAGCCGTCTATTTCGTCGGCATTGAAAGCGTCTATATTCATCATGAGATTCTTGTCCCTGTCACTTTTAATAAATTTGTTTCTAGGCTTTGGCACGGATTTGCCTTTTAAAATTGTTAGCAGTTCGTCGGTGGATCGACATAAGTTCTCAAGATCAACGGAATAATCTTTACACTGGTTGCTGAGATTTACGTATTCCATCTTTAATTAATTTTGTAACGATAAAATAACTAGTTTACTTTTCAATTTAAAGTTAATTTTCAAGTTACTAGCTACATATTAAAATATGTTAAATATTTATTATATAATATATATCACATCATTCATTATTTTTACAATAGGATTTCCCAAATAAAATTCCTATTCACTTACATCTAGGGATAGACTGGCTATATACTCTCTGGGATCTCACCACGAGGCCCCTTAAAAATAGAGATTGAGGCCTCTCGAGGCCCCCAACAAAATATCTTATAGATGGGAACATTTTAAAGTTCGAATTATATTAGAAAGTTTAGCTATTCCAATTTTATTTTCAAAAATAATTATTATTCAAAGGAATGAATATTAACTGCTATTATATATTTGTATATTTTGTTATAAATTATAATCAAAAGATCTATATAAGCAAAAAAAATGCATAATGGCCTTTTATCAAACTTATATATATATCAGGCATTGTTTTTATAGTATTACATTATCGCCACTGTATTTTATTTTAATTTTTTCTTATTGATATAGACATTTTAGAGAGCAATCTATATAAATTTAACCTATTTTCTTTAATTTTTGTCTGATTTTTATTTTTTAAAGTTTCCAAATAACTTTATCAGAGATTATTGGGTCAACTAAAAAATATATACGTTATAATTAATTTTTATTAAAAAACCGAAACAAATCGAAAACACCGATATGTCACCCAAAAACCGGTATGAATTTATTTGAAATAACCGGAAACGAATTAGACCTTTTTCGAATTTTAACCAAATGCCGGAATGGAATTGAATCGCTTATGTTTAACGGTTTGTCATCTCGCTCAAAAATGACAAAAAATTAACATATTTTTTTTATATAAATTTAAATTAAAAATGAATTCTAAAAAATAGCCATATTATATGCCCTCTTCAAAAAAAATATAGTATCATAGCACTAGCTAGAGTTCTGTATCCCGACGCGAATTTATTTAATTATTTGTAGACCCGAAGCCTCCTGCCAGACCGTAAATTTTTAATTTAAAAATTATAAATTATTTAAGGCATTTTTATAAATTAAATAAAAATAAAAAATCCACAATTGCTTATCATAATATCAAAGAAAGGGAAAACATTATTTTCAGACAATTTATTTGAAAAAAAAATGAATATTAATTTAATTCTAGTCATCTCATGTAGGCTAATCCTATCCCACATTAGATATTTTTTTTAAAACCCCTAAACATATCATATATAATTTTAGTCTATGTCAGGAGTAAAATCGAACTCTATTAGTGAAAGTCAAACGTCCATCCTAGTTGAAAAGCTTACTGTCTGTCTCAAAAAAATTTCTCATTTGCATAGTGAAATAAGTTATTTTTTAGTATATCGTGTTTATTATTATTATGCAAATTATAATTTTTATTTTTGTTGTTTCATGTAAATTCATTCTTCCTCTTGCTTAATTAAAAGTTGTTACTTTTTTCTATATAGATTATCATATTATTATAAATAAAATTATTATAACTTAATCATTTAATTTAAAAAAAAGGATACAAGTACTGGTCTCATTTCGGTACGTCATTAGTGTTGTTAAACGGCTCGATTTGAGCCGATTTTTAAAAACGGATAACTTAATATTTTAGCCAGAAAAATATTGCCTAAGCCTCGATATTTCGTTAATAGATGTGTAAACCTTTGTGTCATCTATGAGCAAATTTAGGCTTGCATAATATTTTTCTGAATAAAACATTGAGTTAGCCGTTTTTAAAAATTGGCTCAAATCAAGCCGTTTAACAACACTATACGCCATTATCACAATGCAACCCAAGATATCTACGAAAATATTAGCAAATTTTTATAAATTGAACCTAAAGCCTCGTTTATAAAAACTAACAGCGAATTGACATCACTCTCCATCGTTATGCTTTAAATACAAAATTAAATATAAATTATAGGAAACATTTATTATGGTGTTGTTGGGCTAAACGATGAGACAACTGTGAATATCGCTTAACTAAACTCATTACATGTTTAAGCTTCCTCATGGTTTCTTTAAATGAAGCCTAACATGGTATAGAAAAAAGGAATTATTTATTCATATACTTTTATAGTGAAGAGTTTTATTATTCCTTTTAATCAATATATATTTTCAATTTTTTTAAAAAAATATTAAATTTTATTTACAAAATTATTAGGGACGTGAGCGAAATGTTCGCATCCCTTTGTGGGTGTTGTACATTTGGAATAGTTCTATCCCATCTTTTGCCACCTTTGGATGTGTCCTGAAAATTCGGACGTTTAACGTTATTAAATTCATAGACTATTCCCTTAAGAATTGGAGCACGGCAGAGATGAATTCTCTCTAACGGGTCATCTTTTATTTCAAATAGTATTTGGGCTGATTCCTTCATAATATCGATCTTTTTCCCCTATGTAGCGGGTCTATCTACTTTTACATTTCGTAAGACAAGGGACAAAGAGCACAAAATTAGGACTCACCTACATTATTTTTTGCAGATCTAGACTTAAGAATTTGTTTGTACGATGTGCATTTAACCATAATTTGGCCTCTTTTCTTTTTATTATTATTAAAATTTTTCATTAAAAATTGACAACTTGAACCTAAATTTTGATTTGTAATATTATCTACGACTTCAACTTCATCATCCGAATCACAATTTTGCAAATTAAATCGATGAACGAGGAAAAAATTGAATTTATAACTGATTTATACATATTACTTAATTTATTTAAAAATTGTAATTGTAAGTTGCAATCCTTAGATAATTTTTTTGTGATTACCAATTATAAGTTACTTTTATTTTTTATTTTTATAGTTATATATAATTAATATTATAAAATTACTTTTTCCTACATATAATTGATTATAATATTTATTAATAAGTAATTGTATTCTATACTTTATACTTGAGTAATCAATTACTATCTCGTTCTGTGGGAAATATCCTCTCAATAATTTGTCCAAACGAAAATATAATAGGAAAATTTTAATTATAGTAGCCAATGGTCAATGAGATAAAATTAGATATGTTAATCTTTCAAGATAGAATGATGCAAATACTAAGTAAACCTTTTTTTTACCCTTAGACGATATCTTTTCTTTCTTACATTTGAATCATCATAAATTATGGTATTTCGTCAATGGACTCATGGTGGTAAACATAGGTTCGAGGTTCTCCTCAAAGAATATTTTAATCTAATTATATTTTGGATATTATATGCACTACCGTACAGTGAAAAATGGTGGATTATCTTTAAGGGGGATGTTCGTTTTAATACCGACAAGTATATTATAAATCAAGCATAGCTGTTCTATATGGTTTAAATGACTTTATGTTATCAAGATTTTACTTCAATAAATAGAACAAACAAGGTGTAAATGATTATTTTTCTTAGGCAATATATTTTAACCTTAAATTCTTTTTCCACTTTGGACAGGTCGGCGAGCTCCTTGCTGAGTTCAAATGCCGTGTTAAGTGGGTCATTGCTAGAGAGGCTTATATAGGCCTGACTGGCCAACCCTTTATAAGCGTTAAGCCTGGAGCGCGAATGTCTTACGGAATCAAATTTTCGTTGATTACTACAGCTTATGCACTTGCAGTCGTAAGCGTGGGGTCGTGGTATTACGGCCCCATTTGCCAAGAGCAGTTGAATAAGCTTCACATTATTCCTGTGTGCAGCCAGAATAATTGGTGACATATCGGCTGAAAAACTCAGGTTTTCCGTCTCAGTACTGAAGAAAGAATCGTTACCGAGAAGTTGGTTCTTGACACGTGTATTTCTATGGAATGGATGCTGCAAGATTTGTTCGCATATGGCCAGATTACCTTTGTCAATAGCATGGAGCCAGGCCTCCCCCACCCTTTGCAACTGCATCCGAGGAATTAGAAAGTCGATCACATCAATCTGCTCCTCAAGTACTGCCAGTTGCAAAGCGCTTCTGCCTAGGTAATCGACACAATTAAGATTCAGGCCCGGATTTTCTTGTATAATCTCGTGAAGAGAAATTTGATCCCCCTTTTCCGCGGCATTCAAATATCTCCGTTCTATTTCAGTCAAGGAGGCATCACCAAATATTATTTGTGAGAGTCTTTCGTGCAAATTGTTTTTGGGGTCTAGGGAATTGTTGGTGTTTTGATTGCTATATCCACCGCTTCCAATTTTTGGATTTTGAATTTTTTGGGAGTATGAATAAGGATCTTTTGGTTGTTTCATTCTTTATATTATTGATTGAGTTTTGGATAGTGAAAAAGAATATCATAATTTTCTAAGTTATAATTGCAGAAAATCATTTTGGCTCTGCTTTATTAGTATGAGTGTCAGCATGATCGCCTTAAACATCTCAAGGAAAAAGGTTAATAAAAATATAGATCTTTTTTTAAAAAAAATTATATTTATATTATCTGTTTTTTTTAAAAAAAATTTAATAAAAGGAAAATGATATAAATCATCATACCTGTTCAATATATAAGGTATCAAATATAATAATATAAAATTTGAAAAATAAATGAAAAAAATTTATAAATATTTCAGTGTTTTCAATTTTATGTTAATAATTTTAAGCGTTATAATTTTTATTGAAGAATATAAAATGCTTTTTGATTAAGAACTAGACCGAGCTACATATTCTCTCACCAATGTTTACCAATTCCTCTTTTCTGCATTTTAAGAAATATTTTCCATAATAGTCGAACCTAGACAGACATACTAAGAGAGACATTTTCTCGGGCTCGATTTGACCAAACTTCAATTTAGATTTTTTATTCTAGTTGGGTCAAACTTTAACCTCAGGGAAAACGTAAATTATTTTGGTTTTTCAAATACTTATATTAAATTTCAAGAAAAATGAAAAAGATATTTTCAAAAAAAATTTATTTTTAGCATCTATAATTAGTAGATTTATTTTATTTTTTAAAAATTATATATATTTAAAATAATATGTAAACTATTTATAAAATAAAATTTATATAAAAACTATATTAAATAAAATAATAATTAAACATTTAATTGATCAACGGGGCTTATAGACCCATGTATAGATATGCAGTTAGAACGGCAGATTTCAGTTGATATTCTCTGTCGAAGGTAGAAGCCTTTTTTTAGATCATCTGTGATTAAGCGTAACCTTTGCCCTATTGTTTTGAATAATTTTAGTGCTTTTTAGCAAAAATTTTTCTTTAGTTTTCTTATCTGATCGGACAAGTTTTGATCCAGAACCTTTAAAAAAATAATTGTGTCGGATCGATGGAACAGAAAATATAAATTTTGGTTCTGAACTAATTATGTTTGCCGCCAAATTTTTATTAGACATTCTAAATAAAAATATTTAACCCTAAATTCTTGCATTCACACATTCATATAAAAATTTGTCGAATATTAATGGCGTATATTCTTTGTATTTTTGTAAGTTTTTGACTCTTTTTTAAAAAAATTTATCGCTTGAGGCTAAAAAGTATCTTAAAATATTGGGTGGTACCGGGCTATTTGTGAAAGATATTTTGTCATGGACCATTGTAGATTTTTTTTTTAATTATGAGTTATTTTTTTTAATCACAAAAATAATTACGGCCTGACCGGAAAAAATTAAATAAAATTACACCAGGCCAAAATATTTTTCTGGCAGAGCATGGTCCTACTATGCGGAGGGCATGTAGATCTCGCAAAATATTTTTTCACGGCCCGGGTCCGAGACCCGAGTTCGACTTTAAACAATTTTTGCTGTCCGAGTGCGACCCGGGCCCGAGCCCAAATTTTTTATTCCAGTCCCACCCGATTAAAATTATTTTGAAATTTGAGTTTATTAAATATTATGATGTCTAAGAAAAAAATAAAAATTATATGTATTTATTCACGCATTGCCACCTCAAATAAAAGTAAATTTATCTCCCATAAATAAACTCGAATCAATTGTCAAATAAAGTTGCAAAACCAAGTATAACATTTCATTAATTTGTATATATTTATATATAACAATAATAATAATAATAACGATGATATTAAATAGACATATTAATAGAATCAGAATGTGAATAATTATGTTATATAAACAATTGTGATTCTGATTGATATCTTGCAGAAACAAAATGAATATTGAGGCTATTTCTTTCGGGTCGAGTTCGGCCTCGGATAGAACACCTCTTGTAACCTGAAGACTGAGTCCGAGAAAAAAGCCTGCAACGTCCGAACCCGATCCGAATCTTGAGTCGGACTTTGGGCAGCTGTGTAAGCCTCTAGGCACGACACAAGATAACCATTAAAACTTTAAAGCAAGATTGAAGCCAGTTATGAGAAAATAGGAAAGGGGAAGAGGTATATAGATGTCGCTAATTTGATTTGGACATCTTATTTTGATAATTTTGATGAATTTTTTGCTAGTTTTGATGACTTCGAAGAAGATAAAAAGCGAATTTTTTTAGGAGGAGGGGGGGGGGGCATATCGTCATTGCATTGACTTGGTGATGTAGAAATTCTTAGACCGGGCTAAAAAATCACGGGTGAAAACACCTTTCTAAAAATCTTTATGGACTGGGTCATGCTGATATCTAATAATTATAATAAATTCATATGTAAAAATTTAATGTATTTTAAGGGAAAGATTTTTCATAAACATTCATAATTTATAATTTTATCTAATTTTACAATGCAAGACAATAATCAATCGATTTTAATATTAAATTATTTCGTCAGTGTTATTTATTTTATTATACAAAAAAAAACTTCTTATATGAATTTTAGACAATTATAAACATGATATGCGTATATCTATACCTCTCCTCAATTAGCATTAATATTTTTTTTCCATTTAAATCATCTTTTCAAATTAAAATTACATTTTTGACAATTATTAATTTGCATTCAAAATTTCTTTGGTCTTTTTTGGTACATGAAAATCTTTTGAACATCAATTTTTAGTACCGAATCTTAAACGTTGCACACGATTCTCAAACGGGAGAGCTCGTGGAACAACTGCCCTGGGCTGTCAAAAGGCGCTATGATTCTTGTGTACTGATTTTCAACTTCATTTTTTTAATATTTAAAATTTCCCATTTTTATTACTTTTATTTACTTTTCTTAGGGCATGGAGGAGTTTTTCCATCAAACTCATTAGCGCTTTAAGCTTCCAAAAGTCTTAATCTTTTCGCATTTTATTTTGAAAAAATTTTTTATTAAAAATATTTCCGAAAATGACAGTTTAGAATCTTTGTATATATACACTATTTTATGTATATAGAAGATACTAAATATTGCATTTTTCGAATTTTTTCTTATAAATAATTAATCTTTACGTCGACTTTATAGATCATGAAATTAAATTCTCCTACCCATCTATTTCTCCTTAATTTTTTTAAAATCGTGTAATAAAATATCTGCAAAGTTTAGAAGTACGAGACTAATGAAAGATTTTAAAAAATCGATAATTTTTGGGGAAATTTTCTAAATTAGCTTTTTTTTGGAAGTGGAATATGATTAGTAGAGGCAATAAAAAACTAAACATTCATTTCCTACGCTAACCAATTGCCAAATCATGACTCTTCGATAAGCAAAAATAATCTTTTATATATCAAAACATAACCCTTGGATACATTTTCACTAAATATCTACAGTCCAGCCCAAAATCACGGGCCCTCGCAAATTTTTTTAACCCAGGCCGAAAACTTAGATATTTGTATGTATGGACAGGCCGGAATTAGACTAATTTTTTTAAGTCTAGTATTTGGTAATTTAAGACACCTTCCTACTCAAAAAATTATTATGGGCCGAGGCGGCTAAATTGTACAAAAATATTTTACCAGCCCTCCGGGTTCGGGAAATCAAACAGGCTTAATATATATTCTTGGTTCTCGATATGATTTTAAAATTAAAATTTTTAATAATAATCTAGGTGCCTTACTAACATTTCCCTCTCCGTCCAGGATTGTCACTCTTGTTTTTCATTAAAAAACATGAGTTTATTTTCTAATTGTTGGGGGCTTCCCCCGCCTTTAAGGGGTGGGGGAGGGGTACTTTTTTAAGATTTATATCTTCATATATATCATATATCCCCTTTTATTAATCATTATTATCTTGATTAATTGAGGTTTTTATATGTGAATTGAATAATTTGCCATAATTTAATTACTTTAGCACGCGAATATTTTTATTTAAATAAAGGTGGGAGAAAGCTCCGGGGTAGACAATAATATCTGAAATTGAGAATCACTGCCTAATCGTAAGATCTGTCAACCCTGATCATTTTTATTTAATCTATACTTTTTTGAAATTAGGTAACGATATAAATTAATGTTGTTAAAAAGCTCTAAATTGAGTTGATTTTTAAAACGGCCCGATTATAACCAAAATAATATTATCTAAGAATGGAGATTTTGCTCATAGATGGCAGAAAGGTTTGAACATTTATTTACGGGTTTAAATAATATTATTTTGGCTAAAATCTTACGGGCCGTTTTTTAAAATCGCAAATCAGGCTTTTTAACAACAATAATATCATTTTCATATGCAACTTATTATACGTAACGCATAGAATGTCAAAATCTGCTTTCATTTTTTTTGATTATTTCTACTTGTCCTTCTTCCCATCTTTTGAAAATTCTACCAAAATGTTTATCCGTATTTTTATTCGTGGAAAAATTATTTTGAATATTAATAAAGAGAATTCTTAATTATTGAGGGTTCAATTCCATTCGATGTAACAAAATTAATTATTTATCGACAAGAAAGTTTGAGTTATGTTTTCATATTTAAAAAAAAATAAATGGATTTTTTTTTACTGAAGAGTGCATAGTTAATCATTTTCTTTGTTTGATTTAGATTTAGTCATCTGGTTTTTTTATTTTCAGTAAAATAGTCCAGTGTTCTAATTGTAAAGATTATTAAATACTGTAATAAGCATATGATTTACCTTTGATTGCTTTTTAAATACTATATGTTTTGAAGTCTGGCTTACTGAAATATTAATAGTTAGTTTTATTATCATCCTTTTGTGCAAAATTTGTTTGATATAATTAATTGTATAAGTAATTAAACTCGAACAGATACAAAATTTATTATAAAAAAATTAGAATATAATATCATAAATTTAGCAAAATAAAATTGTATAAAAATGCATAGGTCGAATAAAAACTAACACGTCTTAAAATGTATCCGATAACGATACAAATATATTTTATATATATCTATTTAGATACATATATCAGAGAGACCTCCAGTTTTTTAAAAATACCAGGGCCGGGCCTATATTTATAGACCAAATATTATAAATCGTCATTATTAGCTATAAAAATTAAAATTATATATTTCAAAAAAATTCTGGCCGGGAAGGGCCGAATTCTTCAAAAAATATCCAGGCCGGGTAGTGCAAATCATGCCTCTGAGGTCTCTGATA